TAACTAACATATTGATTGAGCCACGGAGAAAGAATTATCGCGAAAATAATACAGAATGTAGCGAAACGTTTATTACCAAGCTATTATCTGCCCTGCAAATTATTGCATTGCATGTTATTGATGATTTTAATTGGTACGGGAAATACGTGCGCGCGTAGAATTGTGCGAAGCGCAGTACACCACGTTCGATATTAATTAATTTAGGAATTAATGTCAATTATCGAGTGAAAATCACGTGCGGTTTGATACGACGCTGCAGTGCGGTATATATATATAGAGCATTCGAGTAGTATGCGACGACACCGATGACGAATGCGTTACAGTCGCGCATCTCGTCGTTACAATCAAACGGGAATTATGGAAATTCGTGTTTCAACTTTGACATCTGCAAGAGATATTTCAAATGTCCTCCTTTCATTTTCACCGCGCGCTTTATATTCACGTTCATCGCGGAGAATCGTGTGCTCTTTCAAAAATTAATTAAATATATTCACAAACACACACACACACACACACACACACACATATATATATATATATATATATGTATGTATGTGTGTGTACAAGCGAGAATCAAGAGATGTGGCCAAATGATTAAGAGCTCACGATTATCGTATAACTAGTAATAAGTAAGATTGGTACAGATTATACGAAAAATTTTCGCACGTGGCATCTCCAAAGGCTATCGCGTTTCAAATGAGCAAATTAAAGCTGATTTCAAAAGTTATAAGTGCCACTAAATACTGTACGCAAATCAAGAATTCACATAAATAATACTCCTTCGTGACACGTAACATGCATTGAATTTTGTCGTTATCAATCTTCTGTTTACGAAAGTCGATAATTTTCCATGCATTTTCGACATTTGTCTTCATTCAATCTACTCGCTACCGTAATTAAATCAGTGGAAGTTTTTCGTCCTAGTACAACGGATCATCTATAATCGTCGGGAATACGCGATCTCGCTTCCGCGATTCCGCAAACTCATATACGCTTGCGTAAATCCTACTGCGTCTCTTTCAGCGAGATCGTATTTTAAACTTTGCTATTGAGTGCCGAACCGTTACGTTGGATTTATATTAATCGAGTAAGAAATTAAATTAAAAGTTTGAAGCGCGTATTAAAACGCGCGAATAAGAAACGAACAAATTGATATGATAAAAATTTTTTTCGTCACTTTTTCTCTTTTTTTTTTGTTTTTAATAATATCTTGCCAAATATGTTGAAAGACAAATCAAAGGATAAAAAAATATAGTTTAACGAAAATGATTTTTACAAAAATATTATTCCCGTTAGATGTACATTTTCTTTGTTATTTTTTTTGTCATATTGGGAAGCAAACTCGTGCTTTACTCTATGAAACAATATAGCTGATATTTTTCGAAAAATGCGCACAAAGAGAAAGGCAAAAATGCGCCGAATATTCTCAATATTACACAAAGCTACTATGGAAAACACGATTTTCGCGAGAAACTCCCATCTCTCGAGTTTCTTGTAGAAGCTTAAAAGCGAGAGTCCAGTGGAGCACGAGGGAAAGAAGGAAGTTTTCAAGTTTTCAAGTTCAATATTTCATCAAAATGATGTAAACAGACTATTGCAGGTGAACAGTGTAATCTGGCAATATCTTGAAGCAAACTTTGTTACCAAGTCCGACACCGTTTTGCTTGCGAATAAACGAGATTGTACTCGAATAAAAGTTTCGATAAGGACTTGTTTTTCATCCACGTGGCCGGTGACTGTTTAATAGTCTCTCACATGCGCGCACAATATACGCGACTTATATTTTTCTTTCTTATAAGTGCGCCCGTCTGAAAGGTTCATTAAACCACGAGCAGCGGTTTAACTTTGATTACGTGGCGCCAGGTTTATTGCGAATGCGCTCCGCTCTGCGGAGGGGTGACGTTCGATTAACACACAATGACTTTGCGTTCATACACATGTAGAACATGTATATACAAAGATGCGATATGCACATCGACGCGGAATCGTCGCTCTATTCAGTGTCGTTTGATGAGACGTGATACGATTCGTATTATTTTTCCTCTTATTCTTCAATCTGCAAATTATATAATTTCTAATATATTTTTCAAAGGAATACGCATCAATATCTGTACAAAATATATGGGTGGTGTTATTAGACATGACAATATATATCGTCGATAAATATAAAGCGAGCATGTCATTATTTATTGAAACCTATCAATTTCAAACTTTATGAATAAACAAAATTAAATGTGACACGCGCGAAAGAGCTATCAAATGCAATCGTAAATGACGCAAATGGCGAATCACTGCAATGGACTACATGCGCTAATGTGCTCATAATTAAAAAGGGAAACGTGTTTATCACGATAAGAGATTTGCATTACGATATTATATTAGCTACTATCCATACAGCTACTCTGCACTTTAGCGTAATTAATTGAAATTTTCACTCCCGGAAGTTTCAGCCAAATGTAATTAATTGTATATTACCAAGTTATTATTAATTTACGCGTTCCGTTTACACTATTTGCATATTATTCATTTACTTTCCGAGTAAAATAAAGAGAATCGTCAAGAAAAATTTTGCAAAAAAAAATTGGACCAAAAACATACGATTAAAATTTTATAAGCTAGCCAAGTAATATCCACGGCGTAGAAAGTCCTCTCGATATACTCGATGCTCTTTACTCGCTATTAAATATCGACTCGATTAATTACACGTGCAAGTACACGTGATATTTACCAATGCTACCTTCGAATGCTACTCTTCTTTTCGTCCCCTAACGCGACGACTGATTAAGTCTCGTCGATAAATCGCGTTTGTTTACATAACGACACGTACAGAACTATGATCGTATCCAAAACGAATATACGATCAATTTGCGCCAACGGGAAAGATCGAGATGAATGGTGGGTCGAATATCTGGTGGATCGTGGATCATGTTGGTACAGCATCTTCGTGTAATTTCAACTTTCGTTCATATCGAAGCTCGAAGCGATATTCCAATTAGTCGACGAGAGTTTGAGAGGTTAATGAAACGGAAAGCTCGCACAAAAAAGTGGTCAAAGACCTGATAACGAAGTGATTGGCCTACTTCAGCCGGTTCGCGTGCACACTTTTTCTCGAGATGTCGGTTTTCGCCGACTGTCAAAATGAATCGTTTATCGAAGCTTTGGTCACGGCTTCAGATGCGTTTGCAACGTAATAGCAGCAAGACAGAGTCTGGCAGTTTGTCTGGCGTTATCTGTACCATTATCTGCCGTTGTCTGGCGGGCTACGGTGCTTATCTTGTCGCTTTACTTGCGCATCATCATTTTACATTAATCTGGTGGCAGCGTACCAACAGCACGTATACAGCGTAAAAACGAAGGACTAGTTGTGTGTACTGCGCGAGGGTTTGTTCCAACAGCATTCGTGCGTTCAGATCTCCTCTCGGACATCATTCATCATCGTTTCCTCTCTCGTTGCCGCACACCGCCGGAATATCTCATGTCGCATCTCTACCCCACGCAACGGTACCTTCCGCTACTTTCCCTCGGAAGCTAAACACGGGCGTAGCGAAAAGCGATGACAAAGTACGCTACGATATCCGGTCCTTGTCAATATACTCGAACGTAGTGATCGTCCGCAAATAATACGCTCTCCTGGGCCTTCAGAACTCGTCCAGGGGAAATGTAAAGGTGGTTTAAGCCGATACGATTTGGCGATCTCTTCTACTGTATATGCATTATTATGCAAATACGCTCGTGCGCAAAAAGGAATAAAGGAGTTTAAAACAGGTACATTAGAGTTCACCTGAAAGTGGACAAGCGAGCGCAGCTGAGCTGCAGCGAGACGAGAGCTACGCGAACAAATTATTAATCTCCTCTTGTTACACAATGGAGATACAACTCGTCTCCAGTCGTCCGCGTGTATTTTTTATTACTCCTCCAAGAAAAATAACAAACGTAAAAATAATAAACGATAAAGTAATCTAAAGCAGATGAGACAAATCATTCCATTTTGCTAGTAAAATTAATCAAATAAGTAAAAAAAAAATAGTCTTACTAGAAATTTGAGGGATCTTGAGCAAGATTATAGTGTCGTTATATATGATATATTATTTTAATAAAACAGTCACGAACATATTCCAACACTACGTACGGCAACACAAAAGGAGGCAATTAGAGTAAAATGGTCGTATTCACACGGCACGGCCAAGTCCGGCGACATGGACGAACAGAGCGGCGTTTCAGCGTGCTTTCTCGGCAAGTCACTCGGTTCGTAATGCAGAAGCCGGTGCACTGAGAGGTTGCCGATAATTAACATATATTCGCATGCTCCTTAACCGTGACGGCGGGAGCATAGCGTTCGGCCGGCAAAGCTGTTGTCAGTTTCGCGAAGAGGGATTAGCATCATAAAGGAGAGAAACCATCACAGTCTCGGCTGAGAGACGAGCCGGACTACGACAGACGCGTTTCACGCGTGCGTGCGAGCGTGCGTGCGTGCGTGCGAAAATACGGGCTCCATTCGCCGCGATTTTTTTCCGTTTTCGAAACATCACTTCATAGATGAAAGATAGACCGAAGGCGTTTCTTTTGTTTGCGGATGCTCTCGTCGACTTTGAGTAAATTCCTCCTGTATTGTATTACTTTTTAATTTTTAATCTCTCCCTTCCCATAGATGCACAATTGACGAATTTAGAATACGCGCTGATACGTGTACGGTTTCTCATTAAAAAAAAATAAATAAACGGACAACTTTGTTTTTCATAATGCGTACCTGACTTTTCTTTTTATAGATTGTAGCGCGGTATTCTGTAGTTAATTGGTGCGTGCCTACTCCATCATATCCGCCGCTTACTTTTTGTATTTTTTATGTAAATGCGGAAATTACTAGTTGATAAAAAAACATAATTAAAATACACGACGTGCACGTATGTTTGCTATGATTTCGTCACACATTTATTGCAGTAATTAGTTTGCGTTGAAATAATAATTGACGTATAATACGCCAAATTCTTTTCGCTTCGTAGAAATTATGGCAAAACGGCGAAACGACGGAGATCGTTGGACCGGTGCGAGTAGTTCACCGATACGTCAACATGCCAGAGCAAAGCGCAGAATTCTACAACGAGACCACAGGTCATGTGGAAGAGGTAAACAGCGCGGCGGTTGTCAAACCATATTATTCAAGGGATATCTTGGATCGTAGTAAGATCGTTATCGATAACTTTCCCGCAGGTTCACGGTTGCGTGCCAGCAATGGGCTATAGCTTCGCAGCCGGCACCACCGACGGACCCGGTTCCTTCGCTTTCGAACAGGGCACAACCACGTCGAATCCTCTTTGGAATGCCGTGCGCAACTTGGTGGCCAAGCCGACGGCTGAAGATATTCGTTGCCAGGGTGCGAAGCCTATTCTGTTGGCCACCGGTCGGGTGAGTTGGTCTCTCTCTCTCTCTCTCTCTCTCTCTCTCTCTCTCTCTCTCTCTCTCTCT